TGTGTCTGTTTGTTTCCCTCTTGGGGCCTTTATAGAGGTGTTTCCTTTGGAAAACTTTTCCACCAGAGAGCAGCACGAACCTTTAAGTCTTTGTGCAAATCTTAGCTCTTTCCCTGACAGCTTTACCAGACCAAAGCCCCAAAAACTCTCCCTCTGTTCTGCTCTATTTTTCCTTCTCTCCATACATTTACTATCTTCCAAAATCCCATACAATTTTTCCAGAATTAAAAAATGAGTTTGTTTTTTCTCTGTCTCTCCAGAATGTCACCTCTGCCACTGTTAGTTTCTTCTCTATCTTGTTCAATGCATATTCCAATATGCATTGCAGAGCCTGGTGTACTTGTGCAATACATTTAGTGAATGAAATCAGATAATTTGTTTGGTCACTTATGTATCAAATTATTAAACGGCTTTTTTTTTTTTTTCTGTGCATGGCATAGAGTTGAATGGATGCAAAAGGAATGGGGCAGGTTTCATTCTCTTCATGTCCTTAAAGTCTAATAAGAAGAAAACAAAGTGCATAAATAATCCACACATCAGCGCAGCTGAGTCCACAGGGCGAGTGACTTGAAGAATGGCAAAGCAAGCAGTGTGAGGCTCAGAGGACAGGCAAGCTGGCCTGACTGGGCTGGCTCTAGATGACTTCATGGGTGCAACATTTGAAGTAGACATTGAGAAACAGCTGGTAATTTGATAAGAAAAAATAGAGAAAGAAGTATTTGCAGATAGTAAACAAACTTGGAGGGCAACAACATCGCAGGAAAATATACTGTCCTATATTAATAACAGTAAATTATAGTCTTATAGATATGAGATGAATTAGTTGAACGAGAAGTGCTTTGTACAAGAGGTAAAGGTATTCAGTTATCTCAAACATATAGAAACAGAATGATAGTGGAGGGATTTCTCAGCACAAACTGAATGCTGAGCTAAGGAATTAGACTTGATTTATGTGACAGGGAGCCCCTGTGGGATTTGCAGCAGAGCAGGGGCGGCCACGGCAAAGTCCTGAGGGCAGTGACTTTGTCTTGTTCACCTCAGGGCCCGCCACAGCACCTGATAGACTAGTAAGTGCTAAATAAATTTGTTTCCATTTCAACTAATGATCAGGAAGTGGTAGAAAATTTTGTCTAATAAGCAAGTCATATCTGGCAGCTGTAGAGAAGATTGATAGGAGAAAAGAGCATTAAAAAGAAGTTCACTTCAATGAAAGGAGAAGATGGATATGACTCCACCTACAGAGGGCTCCGAGGCTAATTGGATCTGAGGACTGACAATGGCTGAAAGACGAGTTCTCCCATAAGACACCCTAAATCTACTCAACTCCCAGCGTGTTCGAACCACAGGATTTTTCTCAGTGAAATCAATTTTAGAAGCCAATGACTTTTTTAAAGATTTGCTTATTTACACATAGAAGAGCTGGGGTATAGGCCAGAGATGAGTGGGCACGGGAGGATTCACAGAGAGGGGCGCAGAATAGGAGGATCTACCGAAATACACTGTAGAGGCGAGCGCTGGGTGAGACAGCCGAGGACTTCTGCACCATGTGTGGGTGAGCTCTGTGGTGAGGGGTTCAAACTCAGACCCCAGCAGTGATAGCAGTGAAACCTGAACCCTACACCACCAACAAAGCCCTCTTAGGGCCAATGAAAAGATTCCAGTGTGAATTAGAAAGTAACCTCTAATTAAAACGATCAATACTAGACTTTTTTTTTAAGATTTATTTATGCATATAGAACTGGGGTACAGGCTAGAGGTGCAGGGGCAGTGAGAAAATTCACTGGAGACAGAGTAGGGAGCAGAACAGGCCGACTGACAAAGTACACTGCTGAGGGGAGCAGCGGGCAGATCAGGAAAGGTCTGCTATGCCATGTGGTCACCTCCGGGGTGGGCATCGAACTCATGCTGAAGTGGCTTCAGCTTTTTAGTGCTGTGCTTTAACCTGCTGCGCTACCAGGGAGGGCCTTCAATACTAGACTTTTGCAGATCAGGAGAGGTCTGCCGCGCCATGTGGGTCACCTCCAGGGCGGGGATCGAACTCATTCTGAAGTGGCTTTAGCTTTTCAGTGCTATGCTTTAACCTGCTGCACCACCAGGGAGGGCCTTCAATACTAGACTTTTAAGGAGGCAACTATAGGTGAGTTTTTGGACAATTGAATATAACTGTAGGTATTCATCTGTTTATAAATGTTAGGTTCTGAGTGCCGGGGTACAGCCGCATAGAGGAAATTCTTGGAAGGCAGCAAGGGGTGCTTGCAAGGCTTAGGTCTTGACACCTGGCAGATCTCAGTTTAAGACCTTCCCAGTCTCTCACCAGCTGTCAGAGAAACCTGAGTTTTTCTTATCTATGAGTTAATGAAAAAAATAGCAGGGAATTCCATGAGGATTAGATGAGATCGTGGGAAGTGCCTGGCACAGAGTAGGTGCTTCATAAATGCCAGTCTCCCTTCCCTGTGGCTGCCTTTCCTTTTTTTCTCTCTGGTGTCCACTGGAGTACGCCTACTTCCAACACACGATGGCCAAAACCCTTTTATCATACTGACTGCGCCATGAAAGGTCGCATTTGCAATCCTGCATTCTGTTGGCTTGAGTTGTGTGCCGGCTTCCAGGCCCATTCAATTTCCTTCCATTTTCCAATGCTCATTTCCAAATATGGTTTCACTAGCAAATTTCTCACATATCCCTTTATTCTGTCTTCAGGAAGATTATTAATGAAGATGTTAAGTCAGGCTGGCATAAATAACATTGCAGAAGGCAATCTTCCAGGCACTTTTGTTCCACTCAAGCGGGAGATGGTGTCATTTATCATTAGCTCCTGTCAGAGTTTTCCGGCCCCATGAAAAACTCACGTGCGGACACTCATGTTCACATCTACTTAAATTAGTCTTGCAAGTGAACACTCATGAATGACCGAATTAAATGTCATCGCAGGATAGAACATCTGTTACATCACATTAACCTATCACTCTCTGCTCTCATAAATCTTTATAACCAAAACAAATAAGTCTAGCATGGTATTTCTCATAAACAGTCTCCTTTGTTGTATGTGGCTCATGCCCAAAAGGAGATAAAAGACCAGTTGATAAAAGTAACAAAATCTCATCACTAGTTCAAACATGGTCAAGTGGTAAATAAAGAATAATAACTCCTTGGCAAGGAGAGAGATGAATAGCAATTAACAGCCTGTGCAGCAGATCTGTGTGACAATCATTTACTAAATCATGGGAAGAAACCATTGTCTGGCTTTAGAAGCCTTTTCTGCAACTTGCCTTTTCCCAATGAACCATGGGCTGAGTCACTCACAGGGATTCTCTTTTCTCATTTGCTGAAAAAGTAGGGGAGCATAACAATGGAATTTTAGCTTTCATTCCTGGGTCCATTTAGTCTTCATATTGTTTTCCTTGCTCCTTTTTGCTCACTTATTTAATTGTGGCAAACTACACACCATATAAAATTTATTACCTTATCCATTGTTAGAAGTCCATTTTGTGGGGCCCTCCCTGATGGTGCTATGGGCTAGAGCACAGCACTATGAAGCTATCCGAAGCTACTGCAGCATGAGCCAGATCTCTAGCCAGGGAAGTGGCCTACACGGCATGACAGACCTCTTCTGACCCGCCCACTGCTCCCCTCATTTTTTTAAAGATTTATTTATTCATACAGAACTGGGGTACAGGCCAGAGGTGCAGGGGCAGTGAGAGGATTCACCAGAGACAGAGTGGGGAGCAGAAAAGGCCGATCTACTGAAATACACTGCTGAGAGGTGCAGTGGGCAGGTCAGCAAAGGGCTGCTGCGCCATGTGAGCCACCACCGCCCTCCACCCTCCACCCCCACCGCTCCCCCCACCCAGGGCCAGGGAGCAACCCTTTGTAGTTTTGTGCTTTAGCCTGTTGCACCACCAGGGAGGGCCACAAGACTAAAATTCTAAAACAGTAGCTACCCAATTCCCCAGCTCCTGGCAACCAGCATTCTTTTTGTTTTCATGAATTCAACTACTCCAAATTCCTCATGAAACGAAATCATACAATCTCCCACCTCTGATACCATCACCACCTCCCATCCTCCTATGTTTTTTGTCAGTATAACTCTACCTGAAACAAAATGGAAAATGAATAAATAACCAAATAAAAAACTAAGGCAAAGGGATTCCCCAGGGCTAGAGGGAGTCTCTTCTATATATATATATATATGAAGTCAGTGCTAAAGCCAATACATTTGCCAACTAGAAAAAAAAGGATTATAATAAATATGCATTATTTAAATGTTAGTGAATGTTCAGATAAGCATCATGTGGTAAAAGGCGATATTGAACAGAGTAGACCCCAAGAGGGGGAGAAATATCAGTATAGTTGAGCAGGGAAGCAATTGTAGATTCACACCCAGACCAGGGGCTAACTGCAAAATACTAGTCACCGAGCTGATTGACAGAGCTGCTTCGCTGCCAGTGGTCAGTGGTTCTCACGTGTTAGTGCGCAAAAGAATTAACCACCACAGACCCACCACATCAAACCTGGATTGACTGGGACTCAGTGGCCTGAATATGTCACCAGGGGCCCAGGTGCTACAACCGTGGGAGGTTTGCACCTGGGCAGCACCAGGAAATCAGCCAGAAGTTGTGACGTAATGGTCAGGTGAGTGGTATAATCTTGGGTTATGTTATGCACACAGTGTGGTGTCCTTTACTGCCTGTTTTCACCTGCTTTACTTTCCTCTACCTTGGATGTCGCCTGGCCAAGGAGAACAAGGCCTGAGGCAGGCGTGGATGACTCTGAAAACAGACGGACCTTCCACCCTCCAGTAAAGAAGCAGCGAGACTCTGCCACTATCCCACAGCTAGTATCATCTTGAGACCAGATCTTGCGGTTATTTCCTTTTTTGTTTCTTTTCTGGTCTGCCTGTGTCTTCAGACACAAACAGGCCTCAGTGGAACTGCGTTCAGAGTGAAAGATCAGTAACTGGCGTCTCTCTCTCAGCTGTCGTTTTCTTTCTTTCTTTCTAGAATATGTCTGTGCTGGAGAATCACCACTGGCGATCTACGATTGGCATGCTTCGAGAATCAAGGCTTCTGGCTCACTTGCCAAAGGAAATGACGTAAGTGGTGTAGCGTTGAACCAAACTGATGTCCACACAGCAGAGATAAGCAGCTTTCTCCAGGGTATGCACAAGACCTGGGCTCATGGCAGGGAGCCAGCTGCTTCCTGCCTGTGCTAGTTGTCTCTCAGAGGATATTCGGTGTCAGTTACAGCAACCCAGAAACCAGTTTCTCTCCTGGGCTTTGAAAAGGTGGGAATCGTGTGCGACCTCACATGAGGAAGAGGGATCATAAACAGCTCTCAGCTTTCACACTGAGCATCAGTACTCTGCCTTGCCAAAATCCCGTCTTTTTTGTTAGCAAAATTGTCTTCCTGTATAGATCCAAATAATAAATATTTATCAAGAAGGAACACAGAAGTTCTCAAACTAGATTTAAGACTAATTCAATAAAGGCTGTTTTGCAAAAGTCAAACTCAGAAATTCTCTCCAAAATGTTTTTGTTCAGTAACTTGAATTGGCCCCCGCAATTTATCAGTATTAATTTAAATATGTCTCTTGCAGCTCAAACATAAGGGGAAGTGCCAGTTTCCTGGGGCACTCTTGGTTAGCTTGGGTGTTTAAATCAAGTCCCACTAAATCCAGGGCCATTGCCTCATTTTCCACATGATCCCGGGCTACTTTCTATATCATATCCCAAGGCCACCACTAATTCCCCGATGTTTAATTAAAATGCCTACAGCTCAGGTAGTAAAGAAAATGCTGGAACCTTCTGACCAAAGCACATGTGAGGGCCAAAGGCCGAGTGCCTCTCCACAGGGCAGGCTACAGTTGCTCTGAGCTCCTAGCTTTCTTCCTGCACCCCACATCTCCCCGAGTCTATCTCATGCTGTAGCCCAGCACCCAGCAGAATGTGGAATTTGCAGGGTGAACTTCAGGTGTGCTAACTTTTTATCCTGGAAAACTAAATAAAATCACTCCTCATGCATGCAATAAAACTAGTACTTTTTTTTTTACTAAAACAAGAAGTTGCAAAGATAGAATTAAGTGCAATAAGAACTGAAAACTAGAGCAAGACATTGAGGAGAAGGCAAGAGAAAGCAAATGGTAAGGACTGAAAAGAACAAGTCCAAAGGAAGAAGGGATGAGACCTGTGACCTAAACCTGCTTGTGCTCAGTCAGTGTTCATTTCTGGAGAGTCTCCTACTCCTCCTATGGAGTCAAAAATAAATACCATATTTTCTTTTTATTTTGTATGTGTCTGTGGAATGCAATGTTATAAATTGCATTTGCTAAAAATAAGAAATAATAATTGTTATGAATTAATGCCTGTGAAAGGAATCTATAGTGAAAGTTATAATCATTCCTTCAAATCTCCACAAATGCTTTAAAAACATTTCCTGATTTTAAAATTAACATATGTTAACTAAGAAAATACAGAAATGTTTAAAACCACAAGTTCTATGACCCATCAGAATGACAAAATGTAAAGAAGGATGTAGACCAGTGAGAATTCACTCTATTACTTCTTGAATGTAAATTTGTGCAACCATTTTGGAAATGATTGACAATAGCTAGAAAATTGAATCTAGTAATTCTATTCCTGGAAATAGACCTCAGAGAAACTGTAAAAAGAAGTATATAAGGGTGTTTATTGTGGCTTTTTTTTTCCATAGTAGTCAAGAACTTAGAAACAATTCAAGTGACCATCAAAAGTAGAACAGATAAGCACATTGAAGTGTATGCTTACAATATAGTATATTTCTCCAATATAATGATGGAAATGAATCAATATAGCACACCTAATATGGATGATTTTCCAACATACATGAAGCAAGCCACAATTAGTGCATATCATGTAATTTAAAGTTCAAAAGCAAAATTAAACCATATTTAGACTTGTATGAACAGACAGTAAAAATTATCACACAATGAGAAAATTATTAAAACAAAGATCCAAAGACTGGTTACACCGGGGGTTGGGAATACTGGCAGGTAATATTCTTGACCTGGGAAGTCATCACAAGATGTTTACTTTACATGGTATCCATTAAACTTTTATCTATGCCCTTTGCCATGCTACTTTATTTCCAATGGTGAATTTTAAAATTAATTGTGGATCTTTCTATTGATTACTTTCTATATGTGAGGTGAAGCTCTGATTTACTTTATTTTTCCAAATATCCCAACTTTTGCTGCACCGTTTATTGATTAATATATCTCTTTCCCACTGGTTTATAACACTTTTTAATCACTCATTATTCTCTTTTAATTTCCATTCTCTCTTTCCAACCTATATGTTTTTTGTTTCATGGAACTTTCCATTCAGTACTACACACTCACTATTACTGGTTTCACTACTACCACTGTTACTAAACCCTTTTCTCTCCCCATGCAGTATTTGAGTTGATTTGACCTCTATACATACATGGCCCAAACTCCTTTAATCCTGTGATTATGCCCTCCTCAAACCACACATTTCTAGATGGCTTTCAGTTTATTCACCCCTAGGAATAAACTGAACCATGGAATGTACAAACGACTTGGTTCACCAAGGTTTCAATCACTCTCTACAGTACTTGGCACACCTGTCTAAAGACAGCAGTGATTGGTGATGAGAGTCACTCTTGGGCTGTGGGAGACGGGGACTCTAAAAAAAAAACAGAATCAAAGGCAGAAGTGATTTTGCAAGCCACCTGATGATGACAGAATTAGTCACCCTCCTCAAAGGGAATTGCTTTGTGTATGTGTTTTCTCTTTCATTCTTGTGGATGCAGACAGGATATTGAACAGCAGCTGGGCTCCTTAATCTTGGCAACAGATATCAACAGACAGAATGAATTTTTGACCAGATTGAAAGCTCACCTCCACAATAAAGATTTAAGGCTGGAGGATGCACACGACAGGCACTTCATGCTTCAGGTAAACAACAATAGCAAGTCATTATCCTTCCTGGATAAAAACACTTTGGTGCATGATCAATAATTTCAGCACATTTGGGGAGCATCTCCTCAAGTGTAAGTTAGAGCAGTGACCTACTTTATTAAAAACTTTCAGATACATGAAACTTTTAAGTGGTTTCCTAGCGGGCAAAATTGTGTTTCGTGTCAGTAAATTGATGATATCTCATTTTTCCTTGTTTGGTAACTGTTTCACCACAAAGTAGTCTTTCTTGCCAATTGCATGAAATAAGAATCTACAACATTTTGTGGATTGATGTGAAATTGACTACTGTAATACCTGTACAATTTAGAAAGAACACAAAGTATATTGTGTTCACTATAGTACAAACAAAAATTGTAAAATGATCCTTTCCTTTACCTAAAACCTATTTAATCAAATCCTGCTTTCCTTCCTCTTACAACCTAAACTCATATTTTCATCTGAGACTCAAACATGCTTATGTGGCCTTGCCATTTTTAGGCAACAATAAATAAATAATGTAGAGTTGAATTTAATCATATCAAGCCCCACCCTTTGCGTGTTTCCATGGCAAGAAGCCGTTTGTGACATAACAAAGAAGCTGATCGGGGAATGGACATCTGTTCTGGTCTCCATCTTCCATTGTTTCTTGTCTTCCTTTCTTCCTTTTGTCAAAAAGGCTGAATGGGGGCAACCCCAATTCATCTAGATGGAACAACATAAACAAGGAGCTGGAGCTGCTCATAAGAGATTGCACTGCAGAGTTTCTATCATTCCAGGCCTTCATGGCACCCTTGCTAGCTGTCTAAAGAGCTTGATTGCTGCTGGGAAGAGGCCTCCTCCCAGATGGAGAACTCTGTCTCCCTCCTTCTTCCATCTCAAGTTAGTCTTCTAGCTCTTGTGTGCCACAAAGTTCAACGAGGCCTCTTATTGTAGTGGCTAAAGGGAAAAGATTTGTCCTAAGTTCTTGCCTTTCAAAAGGTGTGGTTGCTGATACAGGTGAGTCTCGAAAGGACAGGGCCTGGAGGGGACTTCTAGCTTTACCTACTCCACCATGTATGGGCTCTCCATGAGCCAGAAAATGATACAAAACAATGAAATTTGCCATTGAATAGAATCCAGGATCTCCCAGCTAGCAGTTCTATGATTCCAAGGATCGAAACTGGGTCAAAACAGACTCTGCTGGAGGTTGGCATAGCCGATGATTAAGAGGCAGAATTTACTCCTCTAGGAATTGAAAGTCACCTCCTCAAGTCAGCATCATTGACAAAGACTGGCATCCTAGATGCAGATCAGTGTGAGTCAAGCCACGATGTGTTGATAAACGTCTGCAAACAGGACACTCCAAGGTCTGGCATGACCTAGCTCCATGGCTGGCAGTCTTAACTGACAGCATGCACAGTCACACATAAATGTAAACATACATTATTTAAGGTATGGAGTTGGTGGGTGTAAGCACTATGAGTTACAAATGATCTCACTTGAGCATGGCTGGGGCCTCTTTGCCCACAAGAAGGGGGCAGCAGGAGAACCCGATAGTGGTTTCCCTTGACAGTCCACTAAGTCTTCTCCAGGAGGCTCTATGACCTTGGACCATGGCAGTCCCTGCCTTCTCACTGTTACAGAGGGAGTTCTGAGAGAAGGATTATGTGGTGATGGGTAAGTGCTGTATCCTGAAGGGTCACCTCGAGCAGACCCTTGGTCAGTGTTGAACTTGGAGCACAATACAGACTGAACTTGGTGTGCATCTGCTGCTGGTGTGCTAACCATCTCTCCCGGTTCTGTCATTCCTCAGATTGCCTTGAAGTGTGCTGACATTTGCAATCCTTGTAGAGTCTGGGAGATGAGCAAGCAATGGAGTGAAAGGGTCTGTGAAGAATTCTACAGGCAAGGTTAGTAGTGATCCGACAGCTTGTGTTTCCACTGGCCCTGCTCCTTTTAGGCATTTATCCTTATGAAACAGGAAATGGCTAATCTATTATGACATTTGTCCTTTCACCAACTAATTATTATCCTAACCTTTTCTCTTTAACTCTCTTGCAAACCATCCAACCCTTTTTTTTTTTTTAAGATTTATTTATTTGTGCATACAGAACTGGGGTACAGGCCAGAGGTGCAGGG